GGGCGGCCCGGCCGGGCTCGGGCTCGGGCTCCGGCTCCCGCTCGGCTCGACTCGGCTCGGTGGCGGCGGCGCGCAGACAGGCGGTCGAGGAGCTGTGCTCAGCACTCCGGCTGTCGGCTTTATATGGGACGCAGGCTGGAGGAGATCAGGTGGTCCCCTAGCAATGGAACTGTTCAGCGCTCTAATCCATCAAATGTCCCTCAGGACAATCGCTCCGCACACGTCCCCTGAACCAGCGGCGGTGGGGGCAGGCAGGAGCGGGGAGCAGAGAGCAGGCAGGAGGGGAGAAAGTGAGGGCGAGAAAGGCGCAGAGATAGAGACGGAGAAAAGGGAGCGTGTGTGTGTGTGTGTGTGTGTGCGTGTGTGTGTGTGTGAGAGAGAGGGGGGGGTGGGAGAGGAAAGACACACTCTGAAAAAGGTAGGAATAGAAGCACAGAGACCAAGATAAGGACAAAAAGACACAAGCACGCAACAGAAGAAAGACAGAGAAGGAGAAAGTAGCAGCACAATCTCCTGCACCCAGGGGAGGAAAAGAAATCCAGACACACAAAAAGGAAGCTCCTTGGAGATATAAAGAAAGGGGGAGAACTGCAAAATAGAGATGGAAGGGAGGAGAGAGAGGGAGGGAGGGGGGAGTCTGGAGCAGGTGGGGTTCAGGCACATGGGGTTGCAGGGAAGGGGGTGCAAAGAAATGTGAGCCAGCCAAGGACCACCTCCTGCCTGCTTACACTCCTCACCCTTTGCCCAATTCTGAAGTGCCCGATATGGACACCAATTTTAACTAGAGGAAGCCCTTCCATCACTTCCAGCCTGGGGCTTCTACTGGAGCCCCTTATTGCATTTGGGGTTCAACTTTCTCCCAGAACTGATGGGGGGAGCAAGTCCCCCATGCCGGTGCTGGCCTCTCTCAGCCAGTCATGTTCCAGTGCCTATCTCAGGCGAGTGCTGCAAGAGGAAGTGAAAATCGCCCAGTAATTAATTTCCCTGCTGCTGGGGGGTGGTGGTTTTGACACATCCGAGGCTGTATCTTTCCCTGAAGCGGGGAGCAGACAATAGAGACACGTGGACTGGGAAGGGAGGGGGGAAGGGAGGGAAGCGGGGCTCCTGCTGGAACTCTTTGCAGGTCAGCTCCTTTGTCTCTGGAAGGATCTGAGCATCCCCCCACCCCAGTCTGGCCCAAACCTGGGAGATTCCCCCCGCCCCCATGTGCTGTCAGAACTAAGGAGCAGAAGAACCCAGCTTGGCATCCAGAGGCTGCAGGGCACAGCCCCAGGTGGTGGGCTGCCTCTACAAGTGTGGGATGGTGAGTGTATGAGTCCCAGAACTGGATTCCAGGGACACCAGGTTGTCACTGGCCCATGACATTCTGTGGACGGATATAAAGCTGATGGAGTAGGAATGTCCTCTGGGTACTGGGTCATTCAATACCAGTTAGAAATATAAGACCCAGAGAGGGCATGGAAGTGCCTGAGATCACACAATGAGATACAGTGTCTAGAGACCTCAGTGTCTTCTGGGTACCATTAGGTCAGAGGCTAGCCTGGCCTTTGATGTGTGGCTCAGGAAATTTAAGAATAAAAATTGGGGCTCTAAGCTTGGCTTCCCTTGATCTGGGAGTCCCTTCTCAATGCTATTGTCTCTTATATTGCCTCCAGGGACTTTTTAAAACCTCAGTCCTTGGAAGTTGAGGTAACACAGCCCCTGCCCCATGACACACCTCTGTGTTTCAGCTCCAGCCAAAGGAGCATACCTCTAGTTCTTCAGGCATCCCTTTTCTCTGTGAGGCAACCTTCCCTTTACCCCTTTTAGTCCCTGCTTGTCTGCAGGACACAGCTGAGGCACTTAGTCCAGAAGTGCCTCTGACATCCTTCATTGTACACCAAGCCAACCTGACCATTAGTCTCTAAGCTGCATGAGGACAGGGACTCCATCCTGTGCTTGGCCTAGCACACTCTTCACAGCATGCTCCCCAAGTCTCCAAGTCTCCTCCCTGCTAGCTGTGGGGCCTTGGCAAGTTACTCAACTGATCTGTGCCTCAGTTTTTCCATTTGTAAAATGAGAATGATACCTGTTGCTTTTAGGGTTCTTGACAGCATCACAAGAGTTGTTACTCAAAAGGGCTTGCAATGGTCATGGGCATATAATAGGTGCTCAGTGCGTGCACCTGGACTCTGTGGACGATTGTGCCTGTGGCATCTAGCATTCTTTTATCATATGTTCATGGAGTGCCATGGAATAAATGGTGAGCAGGCACCCCTGGTCCCTGTTGTCTTGAAGCTGAGATGCAGGGAAGAGTGGGTGGTCACTAAATATGGAAACACTATGTCAATATTATCCTTTCTGAGAGTTGTTGGAATGATGTGAGGATAGGACAATGGGTGAGATCATGGAGGGTGATGGTGCCTTTAGATAGGGTAGCAGCAGAGGTCTCGTGAGAGAGAGGTGATGGTCATGCCAAGAATTGAGCCAGCCATGGAGGAGTCAAGGAAGGAGGACTCCAGGCAAAGGTTCTCCAAGTTCAAAAGGCTCTGAAGCAGGAATGACTTTGGACTGGAAGAATGAGCTTGAGCAATAGCAAGAAGCAGAAGGAGATGAGCTCAAGACGTTGACAGTGTTAGGCTCCCAGCTCACTCTGCTGCTGAGATTCCACCCAGAATGGTTCCTGTAATCATAGGTCTGACTGGCTGGAGAGGAGCTGTTTGCTGCTTCCATAGAGGAAGCTATTCATTTGGTCAGTTGGTGACTGCTATTTGTGTGTGGCCCTATTTTGTGCTGGACACTGGTGTATCTCTGTCCACTAGGAGTACCTAGTCCCTGGGGATAAATAAGACAAATGAGTGTCAGTGAGCTCTTGTCTGGCTGTCTGATGGTGCTACCACTCCAACTTCCTGCTAAGACATGGCAAGACTAAGCCCAGAGAGCTCAACAAATCTTTGGTGGTCTGCAGTAACTTAGAGACAGAGCTGGGACTGGGCCTTCTCACATTCTTCCTTTTTTCTGGACAAGCTGTAGAGGTGAAGGCCCCACAGGAGTGTATACCCAAAGGCCTGCAGCCCCCCAGCTGGATAAAGTTAGGGGAAAAATCCACTTGATGGAATATTCTGCAGTCATTAAAAGTTTATATATAGGGAAAAACTCATAGAATTATGTTAAGTGAAGGATGCAGAATCCAGGAATCTCTCACAGTATGTTCACAACTATAAACCAAAATAAAAATAAACATGCATAGGAGAGGGAAAGGCAGCTGGAGGGAAGACAAGGGAGCTCTCCTCCTTCTCTTTATATGTTCCAAAAAGACCCTAAAACATTTCAGTTCAGCATTTGTCTGGAGCAAGCTAGCAGCAAGCTAATTATCTATTTGCTTCCAAATAAAAGAGATGAAGTTTAGTAAAACATGTCAGAATATTCATTATTCCTTCTTCCGGTTTGGGGAGGGTAGCGTCACCAATGGCAGCTTTCCCCGTGACAGCGATTACACCCATGGCAACATGACCAGCAACCTCCTTGGGCCTGGCATCGTGCAGCTCTGCCTAGGGCGGCAGGTCTAGGGATATGGGGTCAGTTTATTTTCACTTCAAATCTCTGCCCTACCATCTCCCAGCTGTGTCTTTCTCTGTGCCTTTTCTCCCCATCTGTAAAGTGGGAGCAGAAGTAGGGCCTGCCTCACAGTGGTGATTAGATGATAGCATCCCCAAAGGGCTTAGCACAGGGCCTGGTGCAGTCATGTGACTCGGGAAAAGCTGTCTGCTGTTATGTACTTGTCTTCACTCCCTTAAGCCTTCCTACGGCTACTATTGGGCTGCTGTTCAGGTAAGGGTGTAGGACTGCTGACAGCTTCAAGGTCCCTGTGCCTGCACTTCCCATCAGGGAGGAGGCATCTTCCACAGTCTGGGCCTTTCAGGGTTGCATGACCCAAGTAGGCTGCAGAGCCACCCAAGGCCTCCCTGGCGTCTGTAAAGGGCCTGAGGTGCATTGGGACTTGCAGGCTCCACTCAGCATCTCAGGAAGGAGTGCAGTGCTGGGAGTCAGGAGCCCATCCTGGTGCTGGCTCTGCTCTCCCTTCTGGGCCCCAGCTTTCTTGTCTGTCAAATGGGGATGGGACGAAGTAGTCCCTGAGCTACTATCCAGATCCGATAATGGAATTCTGTATGGATTCCAAGTAGGCGGACGCTGCAAATGCATCTGCTGTGATCCCTGCAGCGGCTTTCTCCCATAAGTTCCACTTGCCCTGCCCAGGTTCTGAGTGTGTTTTTCTGGACCTCCTCCTCTGGGCAAGGAGAAGAGGTGTGGGGAGACTGAAGCTGGAGGACTTCACAGTTGCGCACACCCAGGCTCCGACTCGCCAAAAGTGTATGTCAGGGACTCAGAAATTTGATAGACACTCCATTCTTTCTTTTGTTGCTTCAGTCCTCAGGGAAGCAGATGTGACAGTCGAGGTATAAATGGAAGAGCCTTACTGGGGGCCACTTTCTGGGAGCAAAGGAGGACAGCTTGCTGTCTGGGGTAGAGGGATGACTTGGGCAGAGAGAGGTAGAGAAGAGAGGCTGAGAAGAGGGACCCAGGCCTGATGCAACTCCAAGGAAGACCCAGCCACCCTGGCAGCCCTGTGGCAAAGATTCCAGCAGAGGAGGCCCGCATGAGCCCAGTGCCAGGCTGAGTTCCAGCTGTTGTCTGTCAGCAGCTGGTGTCCTGGAAATGGCCAAGGTGGCTGGCTAGGGTTGCTTCAGGAATGAGCCCAGAGGAGACCCAAGCAGCACTGTCCTGTGGCTCTTCTGTTT